GGGGGGGGGGGGGGGGGGGGGGGGGGGGGGGGGGGGGGGGGGGGGAGTTTCAGGCTGAAAAGTGTCGCTTTGTTGGTCGGAAAATGGCGGGTGAAGAACTTCATTGTTGTGTCCACTGCTTCACACGTATCAACAAGTACATGTGATATTTTTTTTCGCTTGGGTCTTGCCCTGTTTACTTTGAAGCCGCTCCGCCTCGGGGAAGGGCTCCTGATGTTTTGCCCCCTCCCCCAAGATCGACATCTTTTATCGCGTGCTAAAGCTTGGGCACCTGCGAGATCCGCACGCGAGGGGTGCTTCCTCTGTCCATACCGCGACAATTTTGACAATCTTCCACACTTCTTTTCCATGTTGCTAGAAACCTCGAAATCAGACAATTCGCGCAGCCACTCCAACGCGCATCAAATGCTCATGATGGACCAAGTACACTTGGTACGGATATCAAGGGTAGCTGAAAGCGTCCATCTTACAGATTTATCATGTCAACAGGATATTTCGGCAGTTGACTGCGGAAACACGCCCCCCCCCCCCCCCCCCCCCCCCCCCCCCCCCCCNACAGCCCCTCACCCCCCCCGTCATGAAACTCACACGCACCCTGTCCCCGCTGGCGCCTACCACCGCCCAGCCTAGTCCGGAGTCGACCCCCCCCCCCGTTCCCTCCCATGCCCCCTTGGAAAACCGAGCCGCATGTGCTTGCGCTCTATCGTACGACAACCCCGTACATCGCTATGGCAATTCAGGCTGTATTTCGACCGAATGAGGTCATTACGGGTACAAGGTAACACGTTCTGTTTCAGGTCGGTCAACCCGTCAGCAACCGCACAACGCGAGTTCAAACGACAACGCCTTTGCTTTTTCGCGAGCTGTGCCTTGCCTAAAGTTCAAGCTGTACCAGCAGGAGCAGGAGCAGCAGCAGCAGCAGTACGGCATGGTTTCACGCGTTCGTGTACCAAACTATGTGATTTGTACACGTATCTACAAACACATGGCAATTTATCGTATACCATGGGAAGTATCAAGTGTGCCACTCGCAACCCTCATCCGCTATCGATGCTTTCATACCCCCTTCCCCCNATACCCCCTTCCCCCCCCCCCCAATCTCGATCTTTCGCACTTCACAGTGGCATCCCCTTGCTGCGCTTAGGCTTGGACCACACAATGCAACTCGATCGACGAAAGCCAACTGTCACAGATAGATCAGTCGCAACGAACGGGAAACAGGATTAGGCCACACGCCGTCAATCTGAGATTCCCCCCCCCCCCCCCCCCCCCCC